TAACGAAACCTTTTGAAAGAGTGAGTTTTGTTCTGAGAACAGTTAGTTTTTCCAAAAGGTAAACTTATTAAATTATAATCAAATTTTTGGTTGTATCAAAAACAAAAAAAATAAGCTTTTACAGTTAGCCTTAAAATTCAATTATTGAATAGAATGTTAATCTAAAACACTTCGTTCGATGCACTTTCGTTTCGTCACCGTAACAATTTTACTCAATTCAACTAGATATTGTTAATTTCGTTTACCAGATAAGTTAAGCGTAAGTTATGTTGCTTTCATGATTGTAAAACTTCGTGTTCCAATCTGTCTATTAACTTCTCGTTTAATTTCTTAACTACTATGGAAGGACGGTCAGCATTTAATCGACGAAAATATTATCCAACAAAAGTGTGATAAGTTATTACTTATTAATATATACCAAATGTTTTCATTGATATTGAGTGGGTACATCACATTTTTTAATCTCTTTTTGCTTATACATTGCACTTTGAGAGGCTCCAGACTTCCTCAAAATTTTGTAAGATCGAAAATTATACTATCATCTGTGTAATGATCCGAAAATGTTGTTAACTTATACTGAATATTTTCAAAGTTATAACAAAAAAAAAAATCGTTTTTTATAAAAATGTTCATATTTCTATAAATATTTAAACCAGAATTCCGAAATTTTATGCAGTCATTGCAAATAACAACCAAAATAATCGATGCAAATTACAGACTTATTGCTCGTTTTTTTTTTTTTTTTTTTTTTTTTTTTTTTTTTTTTTTTTTTTTTTTTTNTTTTTTTTTTTTTTTTTGCATTGCGTGTTTAAAAATACTTGTTTTCTTTTGTAATTTATTGCCGTTCCCTAAGATCCCTGAAAACTTTGAACTTTATTGCATGCAATGTATGAAAAATTGCAATAACTTAAGGTATCCAATCACCCTTTTTTCATAAAAATCGAACAAATTATCGATTTTTTGGTTTTAACATTTTATTATGCTTTAAACATCCAGCTTTCTAAATCTGTTTAAATTTTGTTTTTAGCTTTAATATAACCCGAGTTATAGCATTTTAACGAAACATCTCCTTAGAAATTGTGAAACCGGAAGTCACATTCTTACACAGGATATGAATGATTTCTGCTAGTTTCGTTTTGATTTCTGCTAGTTTTGCTTTGATTACTTACGTATATTTGAATATTATTCACTTAAGGGCAGTTTTTTTTATTACTTTTTTGAAATGGCAACGTTTTTCTTAGATATTTATAAGTTTTTAACCTGGCAATGAATTAATAATCAATGAATCAGATCCTTGTTTATCTTTGTTACTTGTGATTGCGCTTTATTTAGATCTTCAATTTATAGTTATTAATTTGTTAATTTTGTTATTTTCTTGTTAAATTTGCTGTTGTTTTTTTATTTATTATTAATAAGTTTTGTTCTGTTTGACTTTGTTTTTGTTTACATTATTTTGAAATTAATAATGGGGAAGTCAATTGCCCGTAAGAGGAAGCGGCAGTTTTACGGCAATCGTCATACTAATGATAGTATGATGAACTCTAGTACAGCTAGTTCATCAAAATTAAATGATTCATTAGTGAACAATAATGATTCCGATGGAAAGGAGGATTTTTCTGGTAACAGAATATTTGATCTATCAATGCTGTCATTGGTATTCAACAAACTAGCATGTCCTCAGTGTTCAAATTTGGGGTTTATTTTTGAAGAGGATTCAAGATATGGATTGTGCAGTAATCTCGTTTTAAAGTGCCATGAGTGTAAGTTTACTGAAGGATTTTCTACATCACCTAAAATAAATAATGCTTCCGAAATAAATATGAGATTTGTATATGGCATGAGACAGATAGGCAAAGGATATTCTGGTGCAAAATTGTTTTGTGCAACTTTAAATTTACCTCCACCACCTGCAAGATCTGCATTTAATAAAAACAAAGTAAAACTGTTGCAAGCTCATTCAACACCATCAACCAGAAGGCGTAGAAAAATATTAAGGGCAAATAGGAAAAATAAATATGTGTTGAGAGAGAAGAAGGAAGGTGTTACCTATAAGTATGGCGGATTTTAAGGACACGACACTATATAAACATTTTACATAACAGAAATGTCATTTTTTCAATAGTTTTCATATTTATTTAGTTATTTTTAACTTTTTAAAGGATATATGTATTGAATTATAATTTGTAAAATTTTTATAATTGCCTGAGAGAAACATTAGTTTTAATTTTTCTCGAAATGTGTTTTTCTCAATTTTTCATTTTACCCGAACCTTGATTTTAAAACAGCCTAATGATTTAATAAGTTTCAAAAGATTCAGTTAAATTGTTGTTCAAATTTTCTCTCATCTTCATGAAGATGTTATAATAAAATTATTCAAATATTTTCTCAGTTTTGCAAATGACAGTTATTTTTCCAATTTTAACTTTAAATTTTATTTAATTTTTCAACTACATAATAGTTAGCTCTATCTGTAAAATTTATATTATCAAATTGTTATGATTTAAATATGAAGCTAGTATTATTTGTAATCAGTATAAAAATTCTTTCTTAATAATTTTTTTTATTTAATATACTTATATCATGGTTTTTATATGCTTACACTTATGCTATAATTAGTAAANTATATGGCATGAGACAGATAGGCAAAGGACATTCTGGTGCAAAATTGTTTTGTGCAACTTTAAATTTACCTCCACCACCTGCAAGATCTGCATTTAATAAAAGGATCTGCATTCAGTAAAACTGTTGAAAGCTCATTCAACACCATCAACTAAAAAGCGTAGAAAAATATTAAGGGCTAATAGGAAAAATGTGTTGAGAGAGAATGTGTTGAGAGAGAAGAAGGAAGGTGTTATCTATGAGTATGGCGGATTTTCAGGACACGACACTATATAAACATTATACATAACAGAGATCTCATTTTTTGAATTGTTTTCATATTTATTTAGTTCTTTTCAACTTTTTAAAGGATATATGTATTGAATTATAATTTGTAAAATTTTTATAATTGCCTGCGAGAAACATTAGTATTAATTTTTCTCGAAATGTGTTTTTCTCAATTTTTCATTTTACCCGAACCTTGATTTTAAAACAGCCTAATGATTTAATAAGTTTCAAAAGATTCAGTTAAATTGTTGTTCAAATTTTCTCTCCTCTTCATGAAGATGTTATAAAAAAATTATTCAAATATTTTTCTCAGTTTTGCACTTGACAGTTATTTTTCCAATTTTAACTTTAAATTTTATTTAATTTTTCAACTACATAATAGTTAGCTCTATCTATAAAATTTATATTATCAAATTGTTATGATTTAAATATGAAGCTAGTATTATTGTTTGTAATCAGTATAAAAATTCTTTCTTAATAAAATTTTTTATTTAATATACTTATATCATGGTTTTTATATGCTTACACTTATGCTATAATTAGTAAACTCGTATTTATGTAATGAAATGTACTTATTTGTATCATAATAATTAATTTTGCAACTATATGGTTAAAAAAGTATATAACTTTATTTAAAAATGCTTATGTTACTAAAAAATAACCAGTTTTTTTATGAATAATGCTATTTTGTACTTTATTTTTGTAAAAATTTTTTGTTTTTGTGATTTTGAAAGTACGCAAAACGTAAAAACTTAAATTCTTTTCCATGTATTGCTTCCAAATTTTAACCATAGTTTTTTATCATTATAAAGCAGGTTTTGAACAAGAATCATGAAGAAATAATAAAAATTGAA